TTTAGAAATGTGTTACTAATTATTGACTCTTCCCTGCAACAACACAACTGAGCCTTTGTTATACGCACTATGTGCAGTACTGCTACAGACTGGCCTTTTTCACATTATGGTTTATTTTCATAAGAAATTTCTCATAACTAACATCACAAAGCACTTCATGAAGTTAATAATAAAGTGAGTAAGCCTCAGAAATAAGTGAATTATGTTAGCAGTGATGAATAGATAAAACAATAGCTTAGAAAAAATTGTATAAGAAAGGAAGAGGAAGAAATATGATCAAGCTAGCTCAAGAATTAGGCAACTAGGAAAATGCAGGGCAACTAGCTATAATGGAGAGGCCACGTGCAGCTGTGGAGTTAGGAGAACTGGATTCTAATACTGGTCTGAGAACTTACCAGATATTTGTGCTCTCTGTGCTCTAATTTATTATCCATAACATGAAAAGATGGTACTTTGTAGTATTTAAGATGTCCTTCTATTGTAAAATATAGTTTATAAGAGTTTAAAATACCATGAGTTCAACTACTATTAAGTAACAACTATATGCACCAGGAACAGTTCTCAGTGATAGTGTCTAAGAACCAGGCAAGATCCCGGTTCTCATAGAGCTTAAATTCTAGTGGTGAGAAAAGACAAACAGAGAAAGAGCTATAAACAAAATAGTCGTAGCTAGTAGCAGGAACTATGAAGAAAATAAGATAGGATTATATTCTAAAGAGGAACTGGGTGGTTTGGGGCAACATTACAGAGACAAGCAGGGAATGGCTAAGACCTAAAGAGAGAAAAGAATCCAGATTTGTGAAATCCAAGAGCCAAGACATTCCTGATGGCAGTTACAGTGCCAAAGACCTGGGTAGGGAACAGACTAGATTTCCTTGAGAAACACAGAGAAGCCAGTGGGGTTGGAATATAGAAATGAGTGGAAGAAGGACAAGGAAAAAAAGGTAAACTAAGTCATGTAGATCCTGGTAGGCAATGGTAGGAAGTTTGAATTTTATTTTTTTATTTTATTTTATTTTTTATTTTTTTGCAATGGGCAGCACCAGGAGAAATTTAAGCTGGAAAGTGACATGGTCTAATTTATTTAAAAATATCGCTTTGGCCACTGTCTTGGGGCTTGATTGCAGATGGCACAGGGAAAGCAAAGAAACCAATTTCAGAGGCTATTGTAAAATGCCAGGTAAGAGATAATGGTGACCTGGACTAAAATGAACAGGGAGAGGCCTGAAACGTACTGAGTGGTGATGTATTGGTCAAAATCCTCGTATTTAAATGTCTTCAGTGTTAACGTGATACTTTAGAAGCTGGCTCAGATTAACTCATAAATTTTGTAACTTTGATTTAAATTCAGTGAAAAATGAAGGAGGTCAGCGAGGATAAGAGTAATGCCAAATAAATGTCATTTGCTCTGAAAATTTCTGTGCTGAATTTGGTGCCATGCATATTTGGGGATTTTTACTCAGGTTTGCAAATACAGAAAAATGGAGTATTTAGAAAAAGAAATCATATATCTTTATGATAGTTTGATGACCAGCACACATTACAATAGGTACTGCTGTCTATATTTTTTAAAAATACATGAATCTATTCAGTAGTCTATTTTATGAAACATTAGAATAGATATTTTCAAAGGATGGTCTTCTTACTTTGAACAATTCCTCTAAACCAATTTGGTGCAATTAAACAGCTGGAACTGTCCTTTTTTTTCTTTCTTTAAGATTTTATTTATTTATTTGTCCGAGGGAGCGCACAAGCAGGGGTTGCTGCAGGCGGAGGGAGAAGCAGGCTCCCTGCTGACTAAAGGGCCCGACGTGGGACTTGATCCTAGAACTCTGGGATCATGGCCTGAGCCAAAGCCAGACACTTAACCGACTGAGCCACCCAGGTGTCCCAATTGGAGCTATCCTTAAAAATATATAAAACATATCAGTTTCTACTGCTGTTTCATTACATTTGTAAAGTAATATAGGAAAACACAGGTCAATAACAGTAGAAAATCAAGATGTGTACTCAATTCAGAGAGAGCTAAGGAATAAAGGCTGTTAAAATTGCCTGTTTCTTTTTTTTTTTTTAAGATTTTATTTATTTATTCATGAGAGACAGAGGGAGAGAGAGAGAGGGAGAGAGAGAGAGAGAGAAGCAGAGGGAGAAGCAGGCTCCCAAGGAGCAGGCAGCCCAATGTGGGACTCGATCCCAGGAACCTGGGATCATGACCTGAGCCGAAGGCAGACGCTTAACCATCTGAGCCACCCAGGCACCCAAAATTGCCTGTTTCTTATTTAAAAATATTAGCATTCTATATCAATATGTATAATATAAACAGACACTTCCTAGGTTTAAAAAATGTCATTTGTTGGCTGCTTACTTAAAACTTGGGAATAATTTTCCCATAGAAATAATATAACTTCCCAGGCCAGCTCAAAAATATCTGTTTATTATATGTAGTCAGTATTATATGGTCAAATATTAGTGAGTGGTACCATACCTTAAGGTTACAGGAAGCATAAGGGCCCCCTTATGCAAGAGGAATATAAAGAATAAAAATATTTCCATGCTTTTTCTAGATATAGGCATAACTCTGGAAAATTATTTTGCCATACAATAATTTTGAGATTCTACTGTCTCCTTCTGTGCAGCTCTCAGCCCTAAAAGTCCTGGGCTTTTAAATTATCTGGGCAGCTACTAGTTAATTAAACCCAGTTTTGTATACTCCCCAGATTTGCTCTTTACCCTCTAATTATCTGCCTCCTCTCCTGGCCAAAATGATTCTAGTTTTACCTCAGTGTCATTTAAAAGTTAGGAAAGCAATCTGACTAAACAACATATTAATCTATGACTTTTTTTAAAGATTTATTTATTTTTATTTGACAGAGAGACACAGTGAGAGAGGGAACACAAGCAGGGGGAGTGGGAGAGGGAGAAGCAGACTTCCTGCTGCGCAGGGAGCCTGATGTGGAGCGATCCCAGGACCCTGGGATCATGACCTGAGCTAAAGGCAGACACTTAATGCGGGATGTAATGTACAACTACCAGGCGCCCCTAAACAACATATTAATCTATAAATGGCTGGTCAATGAGTAAACTTCAGAACTATGTGTTCCTTAAAAATGGATGCCTGTTAACTTGAGTGAATCCCTAACATAAATTCAGGTAATCTAATAAAGTAAAAGAATTTTTACAGAATCTGGGATAGCATATATTAAAGGGAAAAAGAATGGAGCTGCATAATTTTTCCTACTTTCTTTACTTCCAGAATCTCAGCTTCTGTAAGAGGTCCGTGTATAAATTCCTTCATGCATTTTAACCGAGTAAGTCTTTACTACAGTTCTGTGAGTGGGTAATGTCCTACTTGCGGAAGAAATTGATATATCTCTACTATTCTCAGCCATATATTGAGGATCCATCCCCTTAGAATATGTCCCTGGTGAGCTTTTCCGGGAACCAAGCAGGGCTAAGTACCAATCCTTCACTCATCTAAGAGTCACCTTTTCCTCTCCACTCAAATAGTTCTTGAAATCTTTCATGTTTTCTATAGAGTTTTCCTAGGCTGGTCAGAGAACAGTAATTGCATATATGGTGCCACTCTGTCTGGAACTGAGATAGATTGCTTCCTATTTGGTGAGACAGGGTAGAAAAGAGTTCTAGACCAGTTTTTGTGCTGATGCAGTTACTAAGCTTAAGCAAGTCATTTCCATTTTGTGTGTCTGTTTCCTCATCCAACTGGAAGATGGACATGTGTGTATAGGGGGTTGTAAGGGATATGTAATACCTGGTCATCTTCTCTACCAAACTGATGTCCAGATCAAGTGAGATGATTTATCTGAAAACTCTTTCAATAAATAGAAAGCACTGTATTTTAAAACACAGCTATTTATTGAGCTCTCACTAAGTCCAGGTACTGTGCCCGGTACTTCTCTGTGCTTTATATCATTTAATCAACAAAGAAGAAGGTATTAGTAACCCCATTCTACAGAGGAGGAAATGGAGGCTTAGATTGGTTAAATGCCAGCAGTCCAAAGGATGTGGTCAGCTCTCTAGTCATGTGGCACGTTGGTGGGAGAGCCAGACTGTAAGCCCAGGCCTATCTGGCTGCAGCGCCCGTCCCTTTACCTGGTTTATACTGCCGCCCATTTCACACAGGGAAGTCAGTCCTAGCTGCCTCATCTCTTCTTATGAACCCTAAATACGCTTATCCCTAAAACATACAATCTCAATCCAATCTACTAATTTTATAGTGACTTATTCTACTCATTTTGCTATTCATGTGTTACCTGTCAGTGTACTGTGTAAAATTCATGAACTTCTTTAAGGCCCCTTTTCTCTAGTGTTCTTTACATCATTCCTGTGCTTATACAGACGTATAAGCAACCTTTCTAAGTATTTTATAATGAGGAGGGGGAAGAATCAAGAATCTAGGTTGGTGGGAGGGTGAATGAATCTATTGAAAAGGGTCCCCAAAACAAATGCTCCTCACAGGAACAACCGAGAATGTTCAGATTTCTAAGTGGCCTGCTATAGTATAGTTAAGCACCAAAATATGCTAATATTGTGTAAAGATAATTTTAAAAGTTGTGTGTGGGTAGTGAGTTGTGAGTCATATACTGAAAGAGGCTTAGCTTTTTTTTTTGTATTATATGAATAATTGGAATCACATTTCAGAAAAGTGCCCAAAATAGAGCAACTAGGATTAAAACCTTTAAAAAAAAATACATTGAAGGGATGCCTGGGTGGCTCAGTCTGTTAAATGTCTGTCTTCGGCTCAGGTCATGATCCCAGGGTTCTGGGATCGAGTCCCGCATCGGGCTCCTTGCTCAGCGGGAAGCCTGCTTCTCCCTCTGCCTGCTCTGCTACAGCTCTCCCTGCTTGTGCTCTCTCTCTGGCAAATAAATAAATAAAATCTTTAAAAAAAATACATTGAATAATTTTTTTCTGAGAAGCTGACATTGGTTTATACCTACATAGTAGATCAAAACCAAGTATTTTTTATCTCTGTTATACAGGTGTGAAACATAATGCAGATAATGCACAAGTTATGCCCTTCAAGGCCATGAATAATTGCGGCCAACCTTGGACAAGAAGTCGGGCATCCCAAGAGTGGAATTAAAAAAAAAAATGAAGTCAACTCCTGAGCTACACAGAGAATACCTGTACACACACTCTCTTCTGAGCCTCTGTGACCGCGGAAAACCATGGGGGAGATGATGCGAACAGAGAGCCTCTCTTCTAGCCTCTGGCAGTGAGTAATTCTTCTACCCAATATAACTTTATGAAGGTCACCTCCCATCTGCTTTTGAGTTGAGGCAGAAAGAGAAATGTTTTGGAGGGTCAGTATGAGAAAGATTCAGCTCTTTGTGTTTAATTTTGCCTCTTCCTTTTCAAAACGTTATCTTGGGACTGTAGTTGTCAAAACCATCGTGTCGAGTCTAGTCACTATCTAGGGAACTACTGTTAGGTATTTCCAGAGTGCTATTGCCTAGGAGCAAAAATTGGAAAGTATAAAAATATGGAAGATAAGATCTGTCTTCTATAGATGAGACCAGTTGTAACTGAATGCCTGAGAAAACTGCGACCATCCAAGTCTTATCAGAGTGATTGCCTTATTCCCCCATCTACGTCTAAGGTGATTGAGAGGAAGTAAAAATCATAACTAGGAGAACAAGGCCAGGCCAAGACAAAAGGCTGAGTAGCGAACTGTCAAGGGTGAGAGGGGGGAGTTCTGAGGTCACCTGTTTATTATGCCCTGTCTGAACAAAACAGAACAAGTCAAAATTGTTAGCAGACTGCAAGAATCTAGGCAGTGGGAAAAACCAAACTCATCTCCCCAAACAGAAGAGTTGGTAGTGTTTCTCCTGCACTGCTCAGGAGAAAGTCATTTACCCTACCATACGCAGTGTGTCCAGGTCCTGGAGAGTAAGTGTACTCTGTTGCAGTGAAGTCAGGAACATTTCATCTGGCTTTTTTTTTTTTTTTTTGGTCTGGAAGAAATGTCTCATAAGACTGGCCAGTTTCCCTTTGTTATGAGTCCACACTCAACAAGTGGCCCTCTGATTTCTAATTTTACCTCCTATTTAAGGCAGGAGTGGATATGAATAGCAAGGTCTCTAAACATGTCTATATCTTTTAGTGTTAATTAATACATTTGCATTTTGTTTTATATCTCAAGCTTTTATGACTATTGAGGTTAATAGCTACACCTAATAATTGAGTCAGTTCAAGTTCATTTTCAAAGTCAAATTTCTTGGACACACCTCGACATATCTGGACTAAAACCTAAAACACGTGATTAGAGCAGAATAAGGCAAATAGGTTGGCCAGCTAGGTTTTCTCTATGATTACTTTATGCCAAACAACAGGAAGAAGATTTTTGTGGTAGGTGAAACAATTTTTTGCACTTCATGACTGAAGACAAAGAATGAGCAAATGCTGTAGGTGACAGAGGCAATAACGCTGTTTCAATTCCAAGCATCTGGCTTTTGAAAACATTTGCATGAGAGTTAAAAACTTTTCAAGTTGTATGCATGCCCAGTATCATTTAACATAGCTAAAGACTGTTATACAATATTGAGGAATGCAATCAATCCTTAAGTTATGTGTCCTATTCCATGTTAGGCATTACGTACAATGTCTGGAAATCCTAACTGAACAAGGCACACAAATAAATAACTAAAATAATCAGTGATGAATTGTGAGATCATGTACAAGGCATAGTGATGGCAAGGGACAGAGAAGTCCCTGATCTTGGGGCTAAGACAGCTCCCTCTGAGCTACATTTTGAAAGAAATGCCATGTATTGCTGTCTTGGCTAAGGAGGAGAAAGGGAATTCTAGGTAGAGGAAATGGCTGGGAAGCAAAGCCTGGAAAGTATGAAACACATTGGTTTGTACAGCGCATTGCTGGAATATTGTCCAGGCAACGGGAAGAGGTAGAAGGCATGCCTGTTAATCACTTAATCAAGTGGGTGTTGGAGGGGTTGTTGGTGACACCGAAAATAGGGAAACAACATGACATTAAGAAAAGTGTCGCTATCGTGACAAAAAAGGCAAAGGTGAGCAGGAGAGAGGAAGACCAGCAAAGAGTATAGGTCCTGAATTAAGGCAGTTGTAATGAGACTGAAAAAGAAAAGGCAGGTTTGCGAACGGTTTGGCAGCTAGAATCGGGAGGGCTTTGTGACAGATTGTGTTTGGGGGCGACAGAGGGAGGAACTAGCATAACGCCTAAATTACTGGCTTTGGAACATAGGGATCTTTTATTATATCTTTCTCTAAACCATTATACATTATTCATTGTGAGATTGAAGATGTGCCTGTGTAGTGAAACATCATTCATTTCCGACTAAGGGAATCCCTAGATTAGAAATCAACCCCACCTACTCCCATCCATGCTTTTCCTGTCCATTTTGTGCTTTTCTCAGGAAGCTGTGAGATCTGGCTCCAGGGGAAAAACAAAAACAAAAACATGTATAACTAAAACAGACCAATCGTCCTAGAGAAAGAAAAATATGAAAGCCATAAGATACAATTAAACACATTTGGAATGCTTAGAACTAAGTGTCCATGGCTTTATCACAGACTGTAGCTGTGCTTGGTGTATATAGCTCTGCCTGGTTTCCATTAAGCAAAGAAACTGGCTTTCAATAGCAAAAATGTAAAAACTTATCAAGTTACAGGATAACCAGAGACTGTGCTTAAAAATTTAGATGTATATTAACAAAATTCCATCTTGATTTTTTTCTACTGGATGAAAATAATGAAGCAAATATATATTATTCTTTTTTTTTTTAGATTATTTATTTATTTATTTATTTATTTATTTATTTTGACAGAGAGAGAGAGACAACGAGAGAGGGAACACAAGTAGGGGGAGTGGGAGAGGGAGATGCAGGCTTCCTGCGGAGCAGGGAGCCTGATGTGGGTCTCGATCCCAGGACCCTGGGACCATGACCTGAGCCAAAGATGCTTAACGACTGAGCCACCCAAGCGCCCCAAATATATATTATTCTATTATGTATTGCATTCTCATATTAAGGATGTTGGAGGGTTAAAAAGTTTACAGGAATAATATTATTTCTCAGATATTGCTCAGAGTGTCATATTGCTTCATATCTTGGCTCTGTGTGACCATTAGGGGGGCATTCTAGTGTCGTGGTTGGTAAGCTAAGCTCTGGAGTTAGATTGCCCCAGATCAAACACTGACTCTGTCGCTTATGCTTCTGGGCACTTCATCAGTTGCCCCTGTTATTCTGTCACACACGTGAAACTCATAATATCAACATGATCTTTGGGCAGAGCCCAATTCCAACATAGAAATACTAGATAGAATTTGACTTAAAGAAATATATGATCTAATTCAGTGGTGCTCAAACTTTATTGGGTATTAGAATCACCTGGAGGGCTGGTTAAGACACAGATTGCTGGGCCCACCCCCACATTTTCTAATGTAGTAGATCTGGGATGGGGATCAAATATTTGCACATCTAGCAAATTCCAGGTGATGGTCTAGGGCCTATACTTTGAGAAATACTGATCTAATTGAAAAGTGAATTCTTTAGGAAAAAAAGAAGAGAGGCATAATAGTACTTAGAAAACATGAGTATAGGGGTGCCTGGGTGGCTCAGTCGGTTAAGTGTCTGCCTTTGGCTCAGGTCATGATCCCAGGGTCCTGGGATCGAGCCCCACATCGGGCTCCCTGCTCAGCGGGGAACCTGCTTCTCCCTCTCCCACTCCCCCTGCTTGTGTTCCCTCTCTTGTTGTCTCTCTCTCTGTCAAATAAATAAATAAAATCTTAAAAAGAAGAAAGAAAACATGAGTATACAGTTTGTCACAGTTTTATTTAGGAAGCTAGACTATAGATACTGGGAAATCCAGTGGCTGATGAGCCATTCATTTAAGTGAGAATCACTAAATTTGTTTTATTACTAGGATGACCTTGAGTTTCTGCCATTGTAGGAATGCTTCCCCATAATTAGAGTATGCATTAACCCCACTCAGAGAAACCAATTAATTCAACTCACCTTTTCCAGTATTTTAGGGTTTTATGCTTGAATCTGAACCAGACCAAACCATGAACCATCAACTGGTTATACCAGACTAATTTGTTGAACTCCAGCACTAAATTAAATCCCAGGGACGCCTGGGTGGCTCAGTCGGTTAAGTGTCTGCCTTCAGCTCAGGTTATGATCCCAGGTTCTGCAATCGAGTCCCTTGCTCTGCAGGGAGCCTGCTTCTCCCTCTGCCTGCTGCTCCCCCTGCTTGTGCTCTCTCTCTGACAAATAAATAATAAAATCTTCAAAAATAAATAATTAAATCCCAGACACCCTTATACCCTTTCCCTCAAGTGTGAGCCAAATGAAAGAGATTTGTTTTTTAAAAAAATGAACTAGTTCAAATTAGAAATAAACCTTTTAGTTTTTTAAAACAATTGAAATCCAAGATCATATTTCTTAACATACCAATTCATTAAAAGTGAAATGAAACAAAACAAAACGCTGTTTAAGATACCCCTGTACTAAGTAACAAGTAGTTGACTGAAATGCTAAAATAGTAAATCCCTCTAAGAGTCTGGGTCCCAGCAAGAAAGAACATTCCACTCATAGGGTTCAAATCAAGACACTTTAATGAAGGAATTCCTTGCGGTGATGTGGGAAGGGATTTAAGGAAACAAAAGAGTGATGTTGGGGAAGACAGGCAACAGCAGAAAGTCATTACCAAGGGGTCTAAGAGGCTGAGGAAGAACATGGCCTTTACTGAACCCAGTGAGAAGAGTCATGGAAAAGACAGGAGATTTAGTCTTGGGGAATGCCCCATCCCCACCCCACCCCCCTACACCACAACTACACAAATTAGAACAGGGTTGCTTAATCAAGGAGAAGAGAAGAAATACCCCAGCCTTTCTCTTCTCCCAGCCTCTGATCACTTCCTGATGCCTCCCCCTGTCTGAACTGAAAAATCTGGTGTCAGTGGAGCCCCAGTGACTGATCTACAGGGTCAGCTTCCTGGCAGGGCAGGGCAAGTGGTGGAGGCGAAATGGAGACTGACCAACACAATCTCCCTTTTCACTGAGTTAATGCTAGACATTAGACGAAGGATTAGTAGCTGAGTTAATGTATGTAAAATGCTTGGAGAAGTCCCTGGCAAGGAAGAAACACTGTACTCTGAAAGTTAGCTGTTATTGTTGCTACAGGTTGGCCCTGTTTTGTGGATAAGGAAACTAAGGCTCATGGTCTTTAAGCAACTTTTC